TATATATATATATATATATATATGTGTGTGTGTGTGTGTGTGTGTGTGTGTATAATGTATGTATGTATAATGTAGGTGAAGGATCCCGTGAGGAAAAAAACTAAGGCGAGAAGCGTAAAAAGATATCTGAACTCTTGATCGATTTTAATCTCATACTCACCCATGAATTGCACTTTAGAAGGGAATTGATCTGGTGTATCTCAGTGCACCTCATTAGTGTTGACATCCAATTATGATTGATCCAGTGGTGGAGATCTTTTCTTACGCTTCTCACCATAACTTCTCTTGTCACGAAACCCAACCCATAATATGTAATARTATCTAATTGTAGGGACTTAATCATTTGAGAACCCATGAAATTGTGATAACCTTGAGAACTTATGCATCATGTGTTATTTCATATGCTTCTTTTTTTCCATCCAAKACTAGGATTTAGAAAATTGATTAACATATATTTGTTTCACAATATGTTTGTTTTATATGTATTCATTTCATAATGTGAAACTCTTTTACGTGTATTTTATGTTTCACAAACACGTCAAAAAGGCTCACATGTGAAACAAACACATTATGAAACAAATATATGTTAATCAATATTCAAAATCATAGTCTTAAATGAAAAAAAAAAACAAATGAAATAACACATGATGCACAAGTTCTCAAGGTTGTCACAATTTCATAGGTTCTCAAAAGAATGTCCCCCTCTAATTATAATATTATGTAACATATATCTAATAGGCAAAGTTAAATATACCAGTGTTTAAATTTTTTGAGATAAAGAACTGTAAGAAACAAATATAAGATGACAGACAAAATTGTGAGTTTATCTGATATAGGTTGATAAAGAGAACATATAAATGTATAAATTGTTATAAACTTTTGCATTTATCAAGATTATCAAACAAAACAACATCATTAAAAACGATTGTTACAACTTTAAACAGTAGAAAAATACTCAGATATTATATTTTGCAYAGTTAATTACATGAAGAATATTTAATCTGAATTCACATAGTCAAAACACGATTAAGCAACTTGTACAATTAATATTCTTCAACATCATAATAGCATATTTTAAACATACATCTAAAGTCCAAACACCCTCTTTAAACATTATACTGGGTGCAGTTACAAAAGTTAAAATATTATTAAAGTATGCCAATATCAATTAAAATGATTTTTATCAGTATAATTAAAAAGGGTAAATTGYATGAAAAAATAACGTACTTTCACTTGATTCGTATTTCAGGTAACATACTTCAAAACTTTCATTTTGATACTTAAGATGTAAAGTTTTAAACATTTAAGTATATTTGTTTAAAAGATCTCGAGTTCAATTTCGTTGATACTATCAACTTCTTAYAGGTTCATGTATGTTGATAGAAAAGTAGAATAAGCATTGGTTCTTGTGAAGTGGTGTTTTATGGACTAGTTGGGTACAAAATGTCGAATACTACACTAATTAGAAAAGACATCCAATAAACACGTATTTAGACACAATTTACATTAGTGGTTCAGTTAGACTCATTTGAACGTATCTAGACACAATTTACATTAACAGTTCAGTTATACCCATTTGATTGATCACTACTAAAAAATGTGGTTTTTCGGACGGCAAAATCCGTAGGAAAAACAACTATCCGATGGATATTGCCGTCGGAAAAACCTTCGTCGCTAAATACAAATTCCGTCTGAAATCTATCGGTAATGTTCAAAGAAGTTTTATTTATATTTTTTCCTTCCAAAGATATATAAAAAAAAGAATTTCAAAATTTTCGACGAATAATAATTTTATAATAAAAAATTATATTCCGTCGGAATTTATTAAAAAAAGTTTTTTAATTTTTTTATAAAACATATATTTTTTTAAATAAATTCCGACAGAATATAACTTTTTATTAGAAAATTACAATCCGTCGGATTTTTTTAAACAGATTTTTTTGAAAGGGAAAAGAATAAAAAAGTTTTCTTAAACATTTCCGACGGAGTATAATTAAATATAAAAATCAATTAAAATTCGTCGTAAATTTTAATTAATTAACGTTAATTAATTTATTTAAATAAATTAGACCAATTTTATGACGRATTTCCGACGGATTTGTGACAGTATTAAATAATTAAAAAAAATCCGTTACAAATCCGTCGGGAAAGTTGTAGAAATAAAATTTTATTTGATTTTTAAATTTAATGACGGATTTGTGGGAGATTTGTGGCGGACGTCGACAAAAGTTGACTTTTCTTGATTATACAGAGCTCTGAAGTCTGAAGAGTTTTACTTCAAAGTTATTTCAAGAGTACAAGTCCAAGTCTGAAGTCATTCTTCAAAGTTATACTTAAAAGTTATTTCAAAAGTACAAGTCTGAAGAGTCGTTCTAAATTTACTGCTAAGTTTAAATTCAACTTACTAATATAGTTTCATTTCTAAATTTAATTTTATTCTAGGGTTAACTTCATTTTAACTAATTATTGATATAATTTCATTTCTAAATTCAAGTCTAAAGAGTCATTCTTCAGAATCATTTTAAGAGTACAAGTCTGAAGTAGCATCATACTTCGATGATCATTCATATCTATAAGATAAGTTTCTGACATGATTTAATTTTTTTAAATTACTCCGTGTAATACACGGGATCGAACCTAGTATATATATATATATATATATACATAGGTTTGGGTTCACATGAGACCAGTCTGTTTTCGTGAGACCCATAAGACCACATTTTTACACTTGAAACTTCACAACAAAACGTTGTGAAGGTAAAAAAAGCCGAGTCTTCACAACAAAAACACTGTGAAGGTAACATTCACAACATTTTGCTGTGAAGTTTCAAGTGTAAAAAAGTGATATCAAGATCTCACGAAAACAAGCTGGTTTCATGTGATCTCAAGTCTATATACATATACACACACACATAAATAATATAATTGCAAGGCTTGGACGTARTTCCAAATCTAAACATCAATCCCGCATCATATAAAACCTATTTCCGGTTAAACCCAATCACAATATCTAAAAACTGGACGTTATAGAGCTTGATGATTCAAATTGATAAATACAGTGATGCTTTTCTCTAACCCATGTCTTCTTTTTGTTSATCGTAGATGTTTGGGTCACCTCGATTAATTCAAGGGTCGTGAAGAATAGCCAAGAAAATCTCCGGTATCCTTTCAGGACTTGAGCCAATAACCTATGAAGAGAATCCCCAAAAACTCAAGACTTRTTGTCAGTCTAATCCCGTATCTTGTTTCTGTCTTTTTATGAATTATTTTTTTAAGATGATAATGAGTTAACAGAAGTTGGTAGTGTATAAACTTTTGGGTTTCTACTAGGAATGGTGATTTGCTCCGACCCAGTGGGAATCCCGATTCGCTCGACCCGAACGGGGACTAGGATTCCCGCTAAAACAGGTCCTGAGACCGGGGCCTGGATCCCCGGTAGGCTCAAACCGGGGTTGGGTCCGGGACCTGGTAGTGTATCCTTCGATCCGCCCTGTATATATAATTTTATTAGGTCTTGACCAGAGACGAGAATCGGAGTTTGACCAGAAAATAAATCAGGGACGGGATATTAATCCCCGTACCCACTGAGACCGGGGCTGGGCCATTCATAGAAACCAAGACCAGGGCTAGGGATTAGAAAACTCGCCCCATCCCTACCCGTTGCCATGCCTAGTTTCCACTTCATGATTTTGGTCAAAGGCATATCAAATGGACAAACACCCTATAACATTCTATTTTTTTAGCTTGCAATTTTTTTTAATATTGTTGTTGATTTGAGATAATATAAGCATAATGAATTTAAAATTAAATTCATTTAAAATACTATCAGTATAATTTATACCATTTTTTACAACTAAATTAATTACACGAAGACTACAACATAAATTTKTCGACTAAATTTGATTTCAACGTAGTTTTAGTTTTTGAACACAACTATGTCATTGCCGACATGATTATATATACTTTAATAGGTTGAGTTTCAGTGAGAATGAGAGTTAAGACGAGAAGTATAAGAAGGGATCTCCAGCATTGAATGTACATTAGGATGAGATGCATGTAGATGCACCAGATCAATCATCGTATCAAGCACAATTCATGSGTGAGTTCGAATTAAAGATGATMAAGGATCCAAATCTTTTCTTAYGATTCTTACTTTAACTCTCTTTCTTACGCGATCCTTCAYCGTACTGTAATATTTTAAAATTATTCATACACAACGCAAAAAAAATGTAATAAATACAATTATGTGGATATACAGACTATTAGAAACCAACAATATCTTTTATCATTTAAAATGCCTGATAAGTAAATCCATATGGATTACATTTCGGAATTTTGGTTCATGAGTGTTATGAATCAAGTACGTAACAACCAAATTGTCCACAATATTAAATAGAACAAATAAACTCACACATCCTYCTCACATTTGGTGAAGTTTGAACCGTTGACTTCCTAGGAGGCCRATGACTCACATACCGCTAKATCAAATAYYATTTGGTCAAATATAGTAAAGTTGTCGGTAGTTGTCAATATTTTTATGCACAACTTGCATCATGAACTATACTACCTACAAGTTTTGACGAGTTAAAAGAATTCCCRAATTGGGTCTTTGCAACTTGGAGTTATGAATGACTTCCGTATCTTCAAAAATAAAATATGAAAGTCAGCTCGATACAATTAACAATGGAATGAAAACACTGACGTGTCCTTTTTAATACTGAAATAAAAATMTGAACATGTAACTGAAAGAAATAATAATCTTAGAATTTAATTCCGCAAATAAATAAACACCAAGAATGTCGAATTGCTAATAGTGTAAATACTTATCATGGAATAACGTAAGAGATAAAAT